AAGCCAACGATCTTTCCGCACCGCACCGCCGCCCTCCGCGCGCCCGGAGTCCCCACGCGGGGGGCCCGGCCCAGCCCAGGCCGCAGTCCCCGCGAAGGATGAGAATAACAGGACCTGGCTAGCAGCACCCGGCCCTTTGGCAGCCGGCGCGCACCTTCCCCCCAGCCGGCCGCGCCGTCACCCCCACCTCTCAGACGCCCCCTGTCCTGCCCGCATCCCCGGCCCGGCGCCGCACGGGCCTGAGCCCTGGCGGGTCCAGCGCTCGCCTCGGTCCCTCATCCATCCTTCCTTCCATTCTCTGTCAGAGCTCGGCTCCGGCTGCCTTCCCCGGCCCTGCCTTGCTCCGGTCCCAACCCCACCAGCTTTTCTCTATGCCTTCACCTTTCAGCAGGGGAAGAGTGCCTTTCGCTTGCGCACCCGCGCCGGTCCCCTACAGCTGCGGCGGCGGCAGCGGTGGCGGCCGCGGCAGTTCCAAGAGACGGGGCGGGGCCGCCACACTTTCCACACCCCGGCCTCCCCGCCCTTTCCCACCCCCACCTCAGCCCCACTTCCGGGATAGGTCCCGGCGCGTCATAGGAACCGCCCTCCTGTGCTACCATTGGCTATAAGGTTCTCGAGGCCCCGCCCAGTCACGTGAAGAGTGCCCTGGCAACCCCACGTGCTGCGGATTAGTGCACTTCCGGCATGAAGAGCACTTTCTGGAGTCCGGTTGCTGAGGGCAAACTCACTGGCGAGGAAACTTACTGCCTCAAACTTTTAGGTTCGTTCGTTGCGTTCGGGTCCCAGTCGAAGGTAACGGGAAGCAAGCCGCTCACTGGTTGGCCCTTGCCCTCAGGTGCGTGGTGGTTGTCACGTGACAGCTGTCAGAACTCGCGAGGCGCTCGAATTCAACGGATGTCCCTCGTGGCTGTGGAGGGAACTTTGGGTTCCAACTTCTGTCCCAACTTGCAGCCCTACTTGGCGTTCAACACCACGCCTGTTCCTCGAGGAAAAGCCTGAGTGAAGTATTTTATAACCTGGCTCCCGCTGCTGGCTCCGCAGGGGACCCTAGCTACTCATGAGATTCTGGCAGCGACTGCCACTGGTGGCCCGGCAGGATCAGCAGCGCACTTTGGGGTGGGAACTCCGGAGACATCCACGAACTAAAAAGCAACTGTGAAATTACCTCATTCACTCCTCACACCAGAAGCTGTTATGGCGTGGTGGAGGCGAGTGGTGCCTAACTCCTACTGCATCGTCCAGCAAAAAGATGTTCTGCCAAACTCAGCTCTTCCTTCCTTCTGGCTTTGGCATTCCTTGCAGTTTGAGGTATGTCCGTACCTCATAAGAGCAGTTGGGTTGTCTTGGAATCAACCTCGCGCCAATAGTGACTTGAATAGGATTAGGACCAAGGTTCTTAAAAAGAGATGCTTTCCCCTTTTCTCACTGGCTTCACAGCCCACCACATTCTCCTACTTAGAGGAGTGACGTTTACACCCCAGTTTATGTGGCCCTGAGATTTTGTATCACTATTTCATGAAAAACCCCATTTCTCACATTCCTATGTGGCACTGTGGTTTATTTTTTTACACAGACATTTCACACATGTTGTCCAGTCTAACCTTTACAATAAACAAGTGAACTCCCATAACCTGAGCTCAGCTGCTAATATGTGAAAGAGCCAGATTAGAGCTCTGGTTCATGAGTCCACTCTGCATTTTCCTTACGCCACCTAACCTTTACCTGTCGTTTATTGTTAGAATAAGCACCAATATTTAAAAAGTATGTAAGCAGTTAGTACATTAAATGTTTTATGTGCATTATTCCTTTAATCTTGACTGTTACTTCTTCTTTAACCTCAAATTTGTTATGATTTATGCAAACTGAAATTTACCCTTTTTAATTATATGAGTTTTGAAAAACATAGGACGTTATATAACTACCACTATGATCCTATAATCAAGGTATAGGATATTTCCCTCATTTCAAAAGTTGTTTGTGCCTCTTTCTGGTCACTTCTCTCCCCTACACCCAGCCCTTGGCCACCATTAGAAACTATCTGTTAACATTTTTAGTTGTGGAAAAAGGCAGAGAAATGTTAAGCAATTTGCCCTAAATTACATAGCTAGCAAGTCAGAGAGCCAGGACTGAACTCTAAGACAGTTTGGCTCCACAGTCACTATCACCATATACTACCATATGTTACCTGTATACCACCATATACTGCATTCTCACAAGATTTGGATTGGAATCAAATGATCTAGCTCATTCATTCAACAGATCTCGTCAAGTTGCTGGAACACTGAATTAGCAAATACTGAACCATTGCTCCTAGGGCAAATAGAGAGTTATGTTCCTGCAAGCCTCGGGGTCACAACATTTTAATCAGCTAACCAACATATTGCTTTATGTGTATTTCTGTTTGAAGACATCTTATTTAATATATATTGATTAATTAGCATTTAACTCACAGCCAACAGCAGCATAATTTATGCCCAAAGGATGCTTTTGTAAAACATACATGTTCTCTATAAGGCACATCACAGCCTTCTTGAACTTAGAAATACTAGATGGCACTTTAGTACTATGCTTGGCGACCATTTTAAACAGCAAAATCACTGACACAAAAATGACAAAAGTCACAAAAATGTGAAAAAGTGGCACAAATAGACTGAAAAGAACACTTGTTTACAGTTTGATAGTTGAAACAAGAAGGTAGAGCATTGCCTTGTTTGACCTCTGCTAGGAAAATATATATCGGATGACTCAAATCTGCTGTTTCGTTAATGTCCACAAATGACCGTGAAAGCACAGCGAGTATTGATTTTGGGGTTACAAGTAAATTTTAGTGACTAGGCATATTCACAAATATGGCATCCATGAATAATGAGGACTGACTGTTTTTATTTTAGTGCCCTCAGCAGTGAGATTACCATGTTGACCAATATAGCCCCTTGTTCTTTAGGTGCTTACAGTCCAGTGCAAGATACAATGAAGCAATTTTAACAGGTACAATAAATGCTGCTAAAGAATTTACTACAGGGTGCTGGAAAAAGGGGCTCGGTCCTCCTCGTCTAGTCTAGGTATTGTCCAGTTGAAATATAATGCAAGTCACGTGTAATTTTGAGTTTTATTGTATCCACATAAAAAAGTAAGGATGAAATTAATTTCAATTATATATTTTATTTAACCCAATACATCCAATATGTTATTTCACTTGTAACCAATATAAAATTATTAATAAGATAATTTTTCATTTTTTATACTAAGCCTTCAAAATCTGGTGTAGTGTACATCTCAGTCCAGACTAGCCACATTCAAGTGTTCAGTAGCTATGTATGACTGGTGGCTATCATATTGGACATCACAGGTCTAGGAGATTTTAACACTACTTATCTGGGGACAATATCTTAATTTGAGATCTGAAAAATGAGTAAAAGTTAGCAATGATGAGGTATTTGGAAAAGGCATTTTAAGCAAAGGGATTAGGAGTACAAGGGCCTATAGCTCACAGAATTGTGGCATCATCCTGGACTGCATATAGTTTAGTGTCAGTGGTGTGTATTCTAAAAAGAGGTGGGTGAATATGGATTTTCTCCCAAGGGCAATAGAGAAACATCGAAACAGTACACATAAAAAAATGACAAGACAGTATTTTTTAATTAGAAAGTCCTTTCTGGTTGTGATAAGAATTAATTTTTTTAGGGTGATAAAATGTTGGAAAAACAAAACCAATAGTAAGGAATATTTATGTTGGTGAACAAAGGTGGTGACTATGAGAATATAGAGAAGACAGATTCAGGAAAATTATAAGGGATAATGCAAAGAATGTCATAATTAATTGAATGTTGAGGGTCAAAATGTGAAGGGAGACACAGGAAGTGAAGAGGAAAGAGTCAAGTTAAAAACTGTGAAGATTTGTTGGCACCATTTGTTGTGATAGAAAATATAAGAGAAAAAATAAATTTCCAGGGAAAGTTGAGTTCATTTTTGGGTAGATCAAGTTTAAGTTTACCATGGGAAAGAATTATATTTTAGAGATAAACATTTATGAATCATCAGTATATAGATGTTGATTAAAGCTAAAGCAAGAGACTTACTTCAGTTTTAGGCACACACACAGACTGAAAGTGAAGGAGTGGAAAAGATATTCCATGCAAATAGAAACCAAAAGAAATCTGGGGTAGCTATACTTATATCAGACAAAATAGACTTTAAGACAAAGACTGTAATAAGAGACAAAGAAGGTCATATAATGATATAGGGGTCAATCCAGAAAGATGATTAACATTTATAAATATTTATACACCCAACATAGGAGCACCTAAATTTTTAAAGCAAATATTAACAGACCAAAAGGAAGAACTAGATAACATACATTAATAGTAGGGGACTTCAATATCCCACTTTCACAATGGATAGATCATCCAGACAGAAAATAATTAAGGAAACATTGGATTAAAACTACCTGTTTGACTAGATGGACAATATTTACAAAACATTCCACCTGATAGCAGCAGAAAACACATTCTTATCAAGCACACATGAACAATTAAATGCTAACAAATTGGGCAACCTAGAAGAAATGGATAAATTATTGGATTCATGCAACCTACCAAGACTGAATCATGAAAAATAGAAAATCTGAAGAGATCAATTAAATAAGGAGATTAAACAAATAATCAAAACCTCCTAACAAAGAAAAGTCCAGAACCAGATGGCTCCACTAGTGAATTATACCAACATTTAAAGAATAATTAATGCTAATCCTTTATAAACTTTCCCAACAAGTTGAAGAGGAGGGATCACTTCTAGACTAATTTTATGAGGTCGACATTACTCTGATAACAAAACCAGACTAGGACTCTATAAGAAAAGAAAATAACAGGTTAATATCCCTAGGAAACGTAGTGCAAAAATCCTCCACAAAAATATTAGCAAACTTAAATCAGTACATTAAAAGGATCTATTCCAGGGATGCAAGGATGTTTCAACATATGTAAATCAATCTATGTGATACACCACATTAACAAAATGAAGGATACAAATTATATGATTATCTCAATAAATGCAGAAAAAGCAGTTGACAAAATTCAACATCCAGCAATTCTACACCTAGTTATATACTCAAGAGAATTGAAAACATACATCCCCCCCAAAACAACTTGTACACCAATGTTCATAACAGCATTATTCATTATAGAAAAAAAACTATTTAATTTATCTGTTCATCATTCTAACTGATGAACAGATAAATGAAATGTGCTATTCCATATAATGGAATATTCAGGAATAAAAAGGATTAAAGTACTTATAAATAGTACAATATGGACAGACCTTGAAGAATTATGCTACATGAAAAAAAGCCAGTCACAAATGGCTGCATGTTGACTGATTCCATTTATGTGAAGTGTCTAGAATAGGCAAATCCATAGAAACAGACAGTATATTAGTGGTTGACAGGACATAGGTGTTGGGCAGAATAAGAAATGACTGCTAATTGGTACAGGGCTTCATTTAGGGTGATGAAAATGTACTGAAAATAGAT